GATCCGACTCGCAGTCCTGGTCTATGTGTTGGCCGACCCTAATGTCGGGCAGTTGTCCGCGAGTGATGGGCACGGGTTGGTTACAGAGCGGACATATGGGCACCTGATTGTCCAAATGGTGAGCGTTCGGACACTTGTGGGACTCGTATGAGTAGTGATCCAAACAATAGACATTCGCACAGAGATCGCACTTCACGGGCAGAAAGTCTGCAAAACAAATACATCATTGGATCAATTGATACGACAATCATATCAATGGCGTCAATGGTGTCAACGCATACCTAATCGATGGCATTCTTCGTGAGAACAGTGTTGACCCAAATGTGGAAATTCCATCACTTCTTCGTGCGCTTCTTCTTCGGCCGATTGTGTGGACACAAGTGATCATTGAATGCAATCCACACTCAATGCAAACGCGATTACAATTCAAACGCAATTAAGTGGTAATGGATTTGTAAATAATGCGTAAAACATAACAAATCGTAATAAACGCTAAACTAATGAACCGATTGTTAACTCAATTGTGAACTCATTTGGTGTCAAAACATGTGTTTATATACAGAGTTCACAGAATATTCTGGAAACGACGCGACGATCGCTTGAGTGGACCAATGAGTGGTCACTCAATCGTTTGATGACTCAATCACTGCATAGACTGTGCAATGAATTGCACTTTTCGGACATATTATATGTCACTCACGTTTGCATTACAATAATATTGACGTTATTTATGGACTCATTATTGACAACAATCATGTGATGGCAGCAAAAGACAGCGACATTGAAACTGATCCCATCTCAAGACATGTTTGAGATAATGTACAGTCAAACTGGTTATAAGTGTTCATAAAAGGCAAATATAATTAATTACATGATAATAAATATGACATCAAATGGTTTTGCATTCAATTTTAATTAAATTTATTAAAAATATTAAACGACACGAAAACTCATTTGAAAACTTTGATAACGAAATTGACTCCAAAACTAATTTATACATTAATTTACGAAACAATTTCTATTCAATATATAAATTGTCGATAAAATTACAGCNTCTGGAGCTCTCCTCCCGAGAGGTTCACCACTTCCTGGTCTATGATGTTCTCGATCTGCAGGGGTTTGACGACCTCTGCCTGAAACTGCGGGTGATTGAAGAAATCGCGGATCTTATCGAACAACAGCATACGGACTGTGCCCTGAGATTTGGGACTAATCTTCTGCGGCTTATAACTGATGTTAAGCGTCGGCACATCGCTCTCGCCCTCATCGGGCTTCAGGTTTCCGGCGAGCATTCGGATGAATGTCGTCTTTCCGGTGCCGTTCTCTCCCAACATAACGATGATCTCCGAGTCGGTGAAAGTGCCCGGTTGTACACTCAGCTCAAACGACTTGCCCAAGTGCTTAACCATCGCCGGGTACGCGTACTGACACATGCGCTTCACCTCCTCTTCGGTGGCCGTTTCCGACACTTTGAACACAAGCGCCGTCTCTCTGAACCGCAGGTTCTCTGTCGGCACAAAACCGTCGAGGAATATATTGATACCCTCTCTAACAGAGAAGGGCAAAGTGACCACACCGTAAGCCCCGGGAACGCCGTATAGACAACAGATAAAGTCCGATAAATAGTCCAAAACAGATAAGTCGTGTTCGACAACAATGATATATTTGTCCGATTGGATCAGGTCTCGGATGGTTTCGGCCGCCTTCAGCCTTTGCTTAACGTCCAGATAACTGGAGGGCTCGTCAAACATGAAGATATCGGCGTTTTGTATGCACACCATTGCAATGGCAAAGCGTTGCAGTTCTCCACCACTCAATTCACCCACATTTCGACTGCAAATTGTTTCCGAGAGGTCTAACATTTTGCACACAAACTTCTTGTTGTCTCTTTCATTCTTCTTGTCCAACAGTGTGTCCACCATTCCGGACACGGCTTTCGGGATTTGGTCCACATATTGGGGTTTAATTATGGCTTTTAGTTCGTCCTCTAATATACGGGTGAAATAGTTCTGGAGTTCGGATCCTCTAAAGTGAGTCAATATCTCTGTCCAATCGGGTGGGTCTGTGCCGTAACGACCTGTGGATGCGATTAGAAACATAAGAAATAAAAAGTGATACACAAGACATGTCGAGTCAAACCTAAGTTGGGCTTCAATTTTCCGGCTAATATCTTAAGAGCCGTGGATTTGCCGATACCATTGGTTCCGACCAAACCCAACACCTCTCCGGGTCTGGGAGTCGGCAATCGATGCAATTTGAATGTGTTTTGTCCGTAACGATGGGTCGTGTCTCGCGACAGATTGGACGGCAGATTAATGATAGTAATGGCTTCGAAGGGACACTTCTTCACACATATACCGCATCCGATGCACAGGTCTTCGCTAATCTTCGCGATCTTATCGTTTGGCGTCACTTCTATGCAGAGCTTTCCCATCCGTACGACTGGACACGACTTCTTGCACTCCTGTCGACACCTCTTGGGTTTGCATTTGTCTGTATTCACGATCGCTATTCGCGTCAACTTGTCTTGAGTTGCCATCGCTTCCCACCAAATGAGCGTCTCTTTAGTCTCTACAGTCAATCGCTGTCTAATCGATGGTTAGATCTCTTGTGACAAGAGTCTTGTCGTCAATCAATTGATCGTAATTTTAGACAAAAAAATATGTGAAAATTACACGAAAGCCACGTTTTGGCACTTTTGAGGCCATTAATCAATTACGACAGCATTTCTCACATTTTTGACACTATTTTCTATGTTTTTGTAAATGAATAAATATTTTAGTCAATATATGTTGTAATTTAATGACAATTAAGTTTATTGTAATTCATATCTAAATTGAATAAAAGTATTATTAATTGTTATAAAATGTAATAAAATATAACTCATGTCTCCATAAGTGCCGGCATTAAAGCCCACATAAAGTGTGACACTATTTGTGGACATTATTTGTAAATATTGTAATCAAATGTAAAAATAGGTGTCAAACGAGTGATGCGTTTGTCTGTTGAGTGACCGCTGAATGTGTGATATATTGTCGGCCAAAGTGTGGATCAGTTGCGATGGAAATCGAGGGCTTTTATTACGACCCGCAGAAGAAGAAATACTTCCGCATAGAGTCGGGAAACAGCGGTCAGAATCGGTTGACCGCCGAAGACGTGAAGCGAAAGACCGCTTTGGAGGCGATGGAGTCGTACCGCCGAAGAGACGGATCCATTCATTTGCCGCAAACGCTTCACAAACAAGAGATTGATTTTCGCACTAAATATAATCTCCGGGAAGAAGTGATTCGCTCTCATCTGCGGTCTATCCGTACGATCAGAACCGAAGGCGTGGAAGTGATTGACTTCTGCGGCAACGATATGAAGAATGTTTGCGTGGATTCGGTGATCGGTTCCCCCGTTAACGACAAGTTGTTCGCCGTTTTGAGCGGCGATTCGTGTACTAATGTCTACCAAATAGCGGTCGACGACATCTTCGACGACGACTTTGACGTGAATCAGACGAAGAGATTAATCAATTCGTTTCCAAAACCCAATCGAGTGATGGATATCTCGTATATAAATGGCAGCACTTATGATATGCTGTCGACTCTCGCC